TTATCTATAATTATGAATACGGTAAATTAATAAAACATATTTGTTATGGTTTCTTTAGGATCGATAATTATTTTTTTTTTATTTTGTCTTACATTATTATGAATGTTTATAGTTAAAATATCTAGTTTTACTAATTAAAGATTATACTAAGTTTCGATTATTCTATCATATGTATAAGTTTTGATAATTTTAGGTGCAAAAATTTTATAGGATCTTTTAAAAATATAAATTAAAAAGTATTTACATTTATAATTTTTGTTAACATATATTATTCTTAAAATTAGGATTTGATTTTACATATGCTAGGATGGTTTGTAGAAGTTATTATTGCATTAATAAAATATATACCTTTGGAGTTAGAATAAATTTGATCATGCATCAATATTTAAACTTAATTGTATGAGTAATTAATTTGAATAGAGTTTTGATTTAATATCAAATTAATTCTAAGATATTATTTGTTTAATGTAATGACGAGATCTAATGAGGATTAAATATAATGTTATTTCTTTGACATATATAATATATAAATAATTTGAAATTATAAAAAAAATATATGTTGAATAGTTGGATAAATTTTCATCATTTCAATTATTTTTTATTGTTGAGTTGCACCTCAACTTATATTTTATGTCAACAATCAATCAATTTTTAAAACTTAAAAATTTTATTGATTTATCATATATAAAATTCGATATATGGGTAATCTAAAACCAAATTTATTTAATGAGTTTCATTAATTTATCATATATTTTATGTTAAAAATATATATATCTTTTGACTTAAAAGTTTTGGAGTGACATATTAAATCTGAATATGTTTCAAGCTAATTTAGTTTTGTCATTTAACTTGGTATTGCAAGAGATAACTATATTGATTAATATTATTTTTAATCAAATTTGGGGACCAAATTTTTATTAAGTGAGGGAGAAATGTAATCACCGATAATTTCTCTCTTAACATAAATTAATTACTATAAATGATGTATTGTTTTATTATTAACTTCTATTTGTGTAATGTATTTAAGGAAATAATTAAATTTGGTTTCCTTAATTATATGGATAAGTTAGGAATTCTATTAATTAATTTATTTCCTAATGAGTGATTTGATTTTTAGAAAGTAAATAGTTTATATTCCATTTTCGTGAGTGAACTATAAGAAATAAATATTATATTTCTCTTTTTGTATGTGAAAGAAAAATAAAAATAAATTAAAATAAGAATTAAATTATTACTTACATTATGAGGATATCTCATCTTCTCTTATATAAAGGGGATTCCTACTCCCTCATTCTTCACTGAGCCTAATAATGGGAGTATTGAGGAAAGGACTTCCCAAGGAGATGATATCGAGAAAAGGATAGTCGAGGAGAGGTATGACCTTTTTTTTTTTAATTAGCTTTGATTTATATTTTGAAATCTTGATGTTGAGATTGTTATAATTTTATAATGCATGATGATTTTTTAATTTCAAATTTTCATGATTAGTAAATAATAATAATTGATTTGTGTTATTAGAATGATTATTTGATTTATATTGATCTCTTAAGTGAATTTTAATATTGATTTAATTATTAAAATTCTTATTTTTGAATTAACATAATAGTTCTAATTTGTTTAATTAGATATATCTATGTTTTAAGAATTGTGTGTGAAATTATATAATGTAATTAGTTTTAAATTTAAGATCATGAATTTAAATTTTTAGTTAATGGATTTAAGTTATTCTTTAATAATTTAAATATTAAAATTTAATTTAATAAGATGAGTCTAATTAGGGTCCGGCTTGAGTCAGGTTGATCTATCAGATCGGATCGACTTAGTCCATTTGTTCATGTACGACGTAGCTCATATGGCCAAGTACAACCTAGCCTGTGTGACTAGGCATGACCCAGCCTATGTGATAAGATACGACCCAACCACGTGACCAAGCATGAGCCAGCTCATGCGGCTAAGTATAACCCAATCTATGTTGTCAAATACGACACAACCACGTGGCCAAGCATGGCCAAGCATGAGCCAACTCATGCGTATAGGTACAACCAACTCGTGAGCCAAGCATGACCTAGTTCAGTGGTAAGGCTCAGCCCAACTTATAAGTGAGGCTTAGCTTAGTCCATGAAGTCAAGCCTGCCCAACTATGCGATTGGTATTAGACACATCGTTGCTCCTCTATCTAGTTCGTTGTACCTCAACTCAATCTATTACGCGAAACATGCATGTGCAGTGTATGTGACCTATCCAAAACTCAGGTGGGCTGGTTCTGTCTAGGATAGCGCTATACGACATAGTTTAATTTATTTTTTCTTTATTGGTTTGAACTCGTTAATTGACTAAATCAGATAGGTTTGATTGGTTAAAGCCGGTTTAGGATGATTTCAAACTAACTTGACTAGTTCAAACCTACTTGATTTAATCGAGATTAATCAAATCTAAATTAGACCGATCTATGGTGATTTCAGATTGGTTCTATACGGATTTAAGGTTGGTTCCGTTAGGTCAAAATCAAATTGAGTTTGGTTTAAGTAATTGAGATATTCCAATTAGAGAGTTTTAGTTGATTGAGGACCGTTGAGAGATTGATGTTTCATGTCTTTATGTTTTAATGAATTTAAAGGATTTATCTAGAGATATCATTTAAAAATGATTATTGGTTTTCGATGTAACTAGGTTACATCGAAAACCATCATAGTAACCTATGAAAATCGATGTAACTAGGTTAATAGTTCGCATTGGAAGTGTAACATATGAAAGGAGTTGTGGGCCCATCATAGTACGGAAATGAACATAGTCTAGCATATTTACATCAAGTATGGTCTCTTATAATATTTAATTATATTGATTTCTTGATGCATGCGTGACTGAATGGATGAGTGTAAATGAATGATCATGAATGCTTATGTATCCCAACCGAGGGCAGGTATGACAATTTCCTTCAGGGATTAGCAGGCCTTTAGACGTGATGATTAGACGGTTCATCCATCCGTTGTTGGGATGAACGTGTCCCCACTTGGGCATGTGAGGGATACCATTCCATCCGTTGTTGTTGGGAGTGTGATATGGATTATCTTCATCCGTTGTTTGGAGGAATCCATCCCGTGGAATATGCCTCTCCATTCGCTATTGGGAGAGTGAACCATCGTTTTTTTTATTCATAAGTTTTATGATGAATCGATATATTATCATTTCTTATTAAAATATTGATATTTATTTTTATTTCATAAATATTGAAGATTATTTTAATGATTATTTTGATGTTCCTATCGTATATTTATTTTCAGAATAATCTACTACTTTGTAATAGATCTGAAGCTTAAGCGGAAGAGATTGTGACCCTACCAAGAAGATATGATTCCTTTTATAATTAATAGAATATTTACTATTATAAAAATAAGGATTTGAATTCAAAGAAGAATGAAAAAATAAAAATGAGTTTATTATGTAAATTATGAATAATAAAATACTGATTTATTATTCTTTTTATAAATCCGGGATGTTATAGCATTAGACTTTGATGTTAAAATGATCATAGACATAACTAATTTTTATTAAATAAATAATTAAGATAAATGAAAAAAAAATTAAAAGACTTATTTTTATGATAATTACTAGTAATATTTAGACTTTATTATAGTCTACAACCAACACATTAGAATATTTAAAGATCAATTTAAATTTATTTGTAAGTCATTTGTTGACAGATTAATAAAAAAACTGAATGAGATATAGTATGATAGTATTTGTTGTTAAGAATATTATGAATGTAGTCGAGTTATTTCTCGTATAATTTATTTTTAATTTTAATTTTTTTAGTTTAACTTATTTAAAATTTACTATAATAAAATTAAGGATATAGAAAACTTAAATGAGTTAACTAGTATATCTGTTTAGGAAGAATTAAGACTAAAATAGAAAAATTTCATAATATTTTTGATATTATTAAAGGAGTGAGTAACCGTAAGAGATCGAAATATAATTTATCAAATAAATCAAATGAGTTTATAAATATTATATAAATTTATAAAAAATCTTTACATTAAAGTGGTATTGTATGTTTTAGTTTTATCGTTTTTTATTTAAGAGATTATTATTTCTTAAATTTTTAAGAGAATTTATGAATGTGAATAATAAAATAACATTAATGAACTTGCACATGTTATTGATGTCATCGCTAATAATATGATAAAACAATCACAATCGATAATTTTGAGAAGATCTTTGAGGAAAAGAAGATCTATCATTTTTTATTATTATATATTATATTTATAAAAATATGATTATGACATATGAATTAAAAGAATCCCTTATAATTTCACAAGTTATGAAAATTGACAATCGTGAAAAATTGTATAATGTAATAAAAGAAGAATCGAAGTCAATAGAGCATAATGATGTTTTGAAAACACATCAAATTATTCAATAACTGTGAAAGAATCTATCGTAACAACATGACTTAAGGGATAATATAAAACTATATAAAATTAAATATATAACTAAAAATTTTACTCATAAAAAAAGCATTAATCACGACGAGACATTTATCTAATAAACGTGTTAAGAATCAATATAATATTACTAACTCATTATGATTTTATATTACATCATATTAATATGAAAATAATTTTTCAAAATAGATTTATAGATTTATATGAATTAACCTAAACGATTCATAGAAAAAATATATAAAAATTAATATTTAAATTTTAAAAATTTATTCATGACCTTAAATTCATTGATTCAAATATTTGATCTATCATTATTCTATTTTAGTTTATGACATTAAAATTTTTTATATAATAATAATATAATTATAATTTTTATCTCGAAATGCGTCGATTACCAACAACAAAATATTCCAACAACTTGCCGTGGCAGCTACTACATGAATGGACCTTTTCTTATCACCGAGCTCCACAAATCAAGAACATTCGGATGCACTATGAAATCATGCATCCCCGGAAACTCTAGATGGAGCATTTTTCTTCTCTTTTGAAGTAATTTAGGGATATATGGTCCCAAATAACCGACCAGCGAAAACTTTTGATATGAAAATAGTGCAGTAAAGTTAACATCACAAACATCAAACAAATGGTGTAGCCCAGTCCTTCACAATATGGGCACTCTGCATCTTCATCAATCCACTCCAAAAACACATCAGATCAGTATCACCATAATAATCCTGCGAACAAACCTGCGGTTCGGCATTTGGTTCCACAGTTCCATCACATTCTGCGAAAAGCAAAAAGAAATGAATAGCTAGTGTTGCCAGAAAAAAAAATAAAAAAAAAGGACCAGACTGTTGTGTTCGTAGTGACCACATGGTTTTACGATGATAAAAAAGAACCGGAATGGGTACGGGCAGATCAAGAACCACCTCGAGGCAGATCCGACCCGTTTTATATTCGCCCGTCTTGTCCACCTCGAGGTAGATTCGACTGGGGCCCGCTCCCACCACCGACGCATCAAGTGCCGCTCAGCTGCTGGTCCAATAGGCAGACCACCAAATTCCTACTCCACCTTTAATCCACGATATGATTGGTACGACTTACACGTGTTCTTTTTCTTTAGGGCAAAAAAAGACGGGATATCGACACTCGATTCAACAGACCACATGTCAAAGAGATAGATAATATGCACCTGATGCCTTCTGTTTCAGGTGTAAGTGACAGAACGAAGACGACGGGCGATAAGCGTGAAGGATCGGATTCAATAGATCACAAGTCAACAAGTAAATAAACGGGGGTGAAGGATTGAGAGTTGGGAGTGCACGCAACTTGAAAAGTCGATCAATACTTGCTGTGGAAACAAATTCCATATGAGAAAGACACTCACGGAGTAGATGTGCAGAGCAACGAGTCCCTCTAAAACCATCACTCTCGATTTCTATTCCTGCAAATGGATGAAGATCAAATGGACATCTTGTTACATACTAATGAAAAGATTAAAACAGAAGTAGATGATAAGAACATCTTGTTGCATCTAAGTCAGCAATCAACAAAAGACAACCGATATTAGAGATTGAAATAAGAGTGACACGGACATATTAGGAGGAATAAATACCTGTGGCCTTTCATTTGGAGAAGACGTGTGACGCGCATGGTTTCGTACCGCGCATCTTTGGACTTGTTTGCGGTTATCGTTGTACACACATATTATATATATATATATATATATATACCTTCAACCACCACGCGACCCATGCGAGATGTGATGTTAACAATGGCCAAGTAGAATAAGAAATAATGGAGTGGACCCCGGGGATTGATACCAGATTGCTTCTTACCTGGTCGAACTCCACAAGAGCTGAAACTTCATCCTCTCTCAGGGAGGAGAGCTGAAGGAGAGGTGGTGGGTTTTCGGAGGATGGGGATCAACAAGAAGACCTTGGCAATCACCCTCTTCTTCCAACTGCTTTCCTCGGTCGCATGCTTCAGTCGGAGCGATTTCACTTCCACTTTCCTCTTCGGCACCGCAACCTCTTCTTATCAGGTAATCTGATGATGTTTCAGATTTGCAGCACTTGAAAATTCACTTCTTCCTAGAAGAGAAATAAGGAAAAAAAAGAAAGAGACAATGCTGTCAAGCTGCAAAAGATCTTTAATTATGCTTCATCTTTGTCTTAAGATGGTATAGAGGAGACCACGCCCTGTAAGATAAAATGGTAGCATGAAAACAAAAAAAGTTGCAGACTTTGTACATAGCTTGATCGAGGGCGTACATACCTATCATGGCTCGGGGGGCACATCCAAGCCAGCAATGGTCAGTGGATGGGCACAGAGCCACCAAGAATTCTCAGATCACGGTGGTTCTGGAAACAGACAGCCATGATATGGTACTACTACATGCCTGAATCAGAAAAGGACAAGTCACGATTCAAAATGTTTAGATCCTTTCATCTCTCTCTTTTCGATTTCATGTGATGCCTGAATCAGAAAACTTTCATTTGGGTAGTTTTCCTGCTGATAAACAAAAAATATTTGCATATGTATACTCAGCTGCATGAAAAAGTTATTTAATTATTTGAAACGATCATTGCAAACATTGCACTTAAAGAAATCTTCACAAAAATAAATTGAGATTTCAAATGAGTCGACATATCAAGATTCCATCCCAATCATTGCAAACAAAAAATTTTATACTGTGTAATAGCAGATATCAGAGGAAAGAAGACATGATAAAGCGGTTCTGTCAAAAGAACAGTATAGGGAAGTACCTAAATCTATAACTGAGGGTTGTTCAGAAAAATGGTTTACCAAGCAAGCAAAAACTGCCCAAAAGCAACCCATCCGGTCCGATTCAATTCGCCTGATTTTCTCCATAGAACTATGACTCAAATAACTGCATGATGCAAATAATATGAACATGCAACATTAATAAAGGAAACAATTAATGGTTTCTTCAAGTTAAGCAGGCGAGGGTGGTTAAAAAATGAAAACAAAATTCAAGAACTATCATCTTAACGTACATTATAAAAAAAAAAGACTAGGGAAAACTAGTTGAGGTGTGATTTTGAATGAAACCCACTTAAACAAATTTCTGATCCTGTAAAACAGAGACATACGTGGGTTTAGATAAAGGCAGGCTGATGGAACATTGAAATAGTCACATGTTGTGGCACTTCAAATTCAACAAGCAACATAATCGAACCTTAAAAGCCATTTTTATCATAGCATAATCTTTAACTTTTGGGACCAAAATGAAAGCATTTGCAAAAAGGGGAACAAAAGCCAATAATAGACCTACAGAAGTTCCTTTCACGAGATCTGAAAAGCACAAATTTGTACAAAGTGCAATGGTTCCCTCTTCCAAATATCAGGGATGGTCATGGTGTCATATTGGAGATCAATAGAAATACATCTTCATGGCTTAATCATTTGATTGAAAAAAAAAAAATCATTTGTGATACATGTTCATATTTCCTTAAATGTTCTTTATCCATATTCTTTCAGATTGAAGGTGCATATTTAGAAGGTAACAAGAGTTTGAGCAATTGGGATGTTTTCACTCACTTACCAGGTGATGTCACTATTATTTCACAATCTTTGTTTTTCATCAGCATAGTAAATACTAAACATGTGTACTATAACATGAGAGTCTCTTCAGTAGCCTGGCTTTGTATAATTTCTTTGGCAAGACATAGCATCATAAACATTTTAGGATCTTTTTTCCATAAAAGAACAGAAATGCAACCTATCTGATATGGTAGTGTGATACATCAACAGTGGATGTAGTTATTTTGTAAAATCAAGACTTCACAGACGGACTTTACTAGTAAGTTAAATTCCTTTACATCTCATGTCAAGGGTTGACATGACGGTTAATAACAAAAATCATCAAATGCATTGTTGTCCCCTGGAATGAGAAACAGGATTCTAACTCATTTCTGAATTTTGACTTGCACTTTTATATTGTAAAATATTTACCTATTCTTTCTGGCTCCGAGTTAACTTGTACTGTAATCTTGTATATTCATACACACTTCCCCTTAACTCATATCCACATCCCATATAACCGTATGGGCTGTTTTACATGATTTCCATGAGAAGAAACAGAAAAAAAAAAGGTTTATATTGTGAAGTCAGATTCTATTTGTTTCCATGTGCACTCAAGGCTGTTTGCACAAACTACTAATAAAAGCCTCAACATTTTTTTCTTTTATCAGGAAAAATTAAAGATGGGAGAACTGGTGACATTGCTGATGATCATTATCATCGATACATGGTAAATCATCGCATCAAAGATCATAACAACAGAGAAATATAATTATTATTCAAAGAAGAATGATATATTGCCTTCCCACTGGTACACTGATATTATTGAGCAGGAAGATATTAGCTTAATGCATTCCCTTGGCGTTAACTCCTACAGATTCTCCATGTCATGGTCAAGAATTCTTCCAAGTGAGTTCTGTTCATCTACTGTTATGTTACAAATTAGATCTGTTACTCATGAAACTTTTTCTCACAAATAGGAGGTCGATTTGGGGATGTAAACCCAGTTGGAATAAAATTCTACAATAGGATTATTGATTCCCTTTTAATCAAAGGTAAATGGCTACTCTCTAATTCATATATTTCATCCTAATATTTGCATGTAACCTTTTAATAGTAAACTTGGAATTACAAGCATAATAACTAACTTCTATGCAAATCATAAACAAAGATGGTCACTATCATTATGTTTTATTTCTTTGCTGGCTAGGAATACAACCATGCAAATCAGAAACAAAGACTGTCACTATCATTATGTTTTATTTCTTTGCTGGCTAGGAATACAACCATTCGTAACGCTGAACCATTTTGATGTACCTCAAGAACTTGAAGACCGGTATGGTTCATGGTTGAGTCCACAAATAAGGTATGTTCTATTTTACAACCTTGACTTCTTACAAGCTCAATGTTTCATAGGCACTAATTGCCCTTTAATGGCCAATGCACATTTTCAGGGAAGATTTTGGACATCTTGCAGAAGTATGTTTCAAGGAATTTGGTGACAGAGTAAAATTCTGGACCACATTCAATGAACCAAACCTTTTTGTAAAATTTAGTTATGCGTTTGGAAAGTATCCCCCAGGCCGTTGTTCAGAACCATATGCGAACTGTACTACTGGAGATTCTGAAGTCGAACCATATATAGCTGCCCACAATATTATCTTATCACATGCAACTGCAGTTGATATCTATAGAAAAAACTATCAGGTGGTTCTGAATATATTGCCGCCAATTGTATCTTAATTGTCCTAGATGTCCTTTTTAATTTTTATGAAATCAAGGTTAGAATTCTCCTTTATCTGTGTTCTATCTATATTGAAAGGAAATAAATTGCATAATAAAGTAAATGCAAAAGCCTCGAAAGACCTATCTATTCTCGTGCTGCCTATAAAAATGAGTAACTTAATGCATCTTTTTCAAGGTCAAACAAGGTGGATCCATTGGGATAGTGATCACCTCAAAGTGGTATGAGCCATTGACAAATTCAACAGCTGATTGTTTGGCAACTCAACGAGCTTTATCTTTCGAAGGGCCATGGTATTTTTCTTGTACCTGAACTTATAGGCACTGTCAATATCATATTATTACTCTCATGAATATAGTACAAAAAATTCAATACAATCTAAATTGAAGGACTTTATGCTGTGAAACTTTTGTTTCCTCCTGATCAATTCTTTGCATAGTTCAGTTCCCTTGCTATTTCAGTATGTTGAGTTGTGAAAGAAAATGCATTTGCATGTCCCAAATTGTATCTGAACACAGACTTATATCACTATTCAATGTGAGTATCTGTAACAAAGTTTATGTTACCTATTATGTATGTTATTTTTTCAAATCTTGCATGGAACAACATGGGGTGCTGAATACTCTTTATCATGCATTAGATGCAGTCTAATACTAATTCTTGTATTTGTAGGATTTTAGACCCCATACTTCTTGGCGATTATCCATCAGAAATGCATGAAGTCCTAGGTTCAAGATTGCCCATATTCACCTACGAAGAGAAGAAATTATTGCTGAACAAATTGGACTTTATTGGAATCAACCATTACTCCACCAATTATGTGATGGACTGTATGCTCTCTTCATGTGATTTGGATGGCTACATGAGAGATGCATTAATAGCCACCACCGGATACAAAGATGGAGTGCTGATTGGAGAACCGGTATGAGAATGCAACGAATCAGAAGATTTTTCAAACAACAGAGTAGAATATTTACACTAAGCTTTTAGTCCCCTTACATGCTTTAAATTACTTCAATCCTCTGTAACATGACTTCTATAAGGTAGAGCAGTCTGGCTCAAATATCTGCAGAAGACTAGAATATGACCCCATGCAACCTCCACTAACATCAACCACAGAATAGTTTTAGGTAGCATTTGGTTCGGTGTTTAGGAGGGTTAAACTGCGGTTTAGAGGTCAAACCGAGTAAATGAAGTTAGGAGAGGTTTGTTTTGAATTATATGAAGTAGTTTAACCAATATAATCAAGGTTAAAGAGGGAGCAACCATACAAAAAGAATGACACATACAGGTTCGTTAGACTTTGTTTTGTTAGGATATTGACACGGTTATTTTAATGTAAAACCAAATGCAACCTTAGATCTCATACTCGCAATGTTTATGGACAAGAAGCACATGTTATAAGCAGAAATGTTTGGTACTGAAATTGTTTGCGGTTGTAATATAGTTCTTTAAACAATAAGAATGCATAAAGAAAAAATCTTACTGAACTTATTTTGCTTTGCAGACTGCCTTGCCAACATATTATGCGGTTCCATATGGTATAGAAAAAATGGTCCGGTACATCATGGAAAGATATAACAATGTACCTATGTACATTACGGAAAATGGTAAGTGGTAAAGTCGAAGAAGAAAATGGTAAGATGTAACTTGGATTGGCTGTGTACTTTGTTGGTCAACTTGCATCAGGTTAAAAATTGACTTGGACTGACGCACCTATTCTGCAACCCAATTCTATGATATTTTTTTAAGACTCCACTAAAGCACTTCATGATAAACAAGTGAGGACATTTAGTAGCCATTACCAATTATTGATGTGTCACATGCTATCCATTGAAGCACAACACGGTTCATATCATCATTTCCATTCTGATTGATACAGACTTTTATTTCTAGCAAACAAACAAGAAAAATCTTATCGTCTTCCACCTTAATGCATCTTTTCATCATGTGTGGCACTTCTGCTCTTGCAAGGTTATGCACAAGGAAGCAGCGGTGCCTTTACAAAGGAATTGATCAATGACACAGAGAGGATAAAATTTATGCACTCCTACCTCACCTTTTTGTCTGCTGCCATAAGGTAATCATTGGGTATAAAAAACAACAAGGCAATTCCACCTATAGATATGAACTATGTGCTAAATATCTAACCAAAGATACTCAAGATCATGCCTTTACAAAATATTTTGATTATCTTTCTAAAGTCAAACTTGACATCTAACGTATACATGGATCTATCATGTCACCTTGTAGACAAAAAGAAAATAATTTGCTGATTCTGTGTATCCTAATGCAGCCAAGGAGCTGATGTGAGAGGTTACTTCTCTTGGTCTCTTCTAGATAATTTTGAGTGGGCATTTGGTTATACCGTCAGATTTGGACTCTTTCATGTTGACTACAAGACACAAAGAAGAACCCCAAAGCTATCTGCTAAATGGTACAAGAAATTTCTCAGTGGTAAAAAGCTACAACTGAGGACGAGCACTCAAAATAATGAGATTTAATTCCCCTTTCGAGGTGAAGTTGCTAGATCATATTGTTTGAGAAACCTTGTGCACATGTTGAAGAATATTGAGAAAAAATTATTGAAAACATTCAGAAACGTCAAGAATGTAAGATATATTTTAAATATATCTTAATAGTCAGCTTCACTTTTTGTTATCGTTATGTACAAACATTACTATTGTGTGGTAATGTATTAAGATATTGTGCTGAACATAATGTTCATTTTATCTGCAGCTGCAATACCTTGTAAATATGGTTCTTGAATTTGCTAAGAAACAACAATCATTCATGGTGTGCCTATATTGAGTGACATCTCAAGTACTACACACAATAGTATGCAGATACACAGTTATGTATGCGCATCTAAAACTGCATATGAATCTAAAAAGGAAAGGTACATATGTTGTTGGCCTTTGGGGTTAGGAATTAGAACAATAAGATGTGGAATGGTTTAGACCAAGCACTGAAACGCACATGCATAACAAAGTTCTCATATATATATATAAAGTTGTGAAGTTTGCATGACCACCATGGTTTTGATTGATTAGCCCATGACTATCACTGTTAAACCCAAATATGTTCTGTTCTATTATAACTTCAACAGTTCATTAGCATGGGAAAGTGCTAAAATAAGATAAAGGAGGAGCATGTCAAGGACCAGCAGAAATGTTGGGCAATTTTCTGCTATTGTTAAAGTTATGAAAATTATTCACAATGTATATATATATATATTTATTTACACATACATATCTCCAGTTGCACCAAGTGGAAAGATCAGTGATTTAAAAAGCGCTAGGCGTCAAAAGGCGCCAAAGTCCAAAAACGCCCGAGGCGCTAGGCGCTCGCCCGAGCGAAGTGAGGCGCTAAAATATAAAAATATATAATATAATTAATAAATATAATTATTTAAAATTTTAAATAAAAATATGCTATTAAATTAAGAAAATCTAAGATACAAAATCACAATGTCACGTTAACAAAAAGTTTCAAAATTCAAAACAATAAAATTTTACATCAAAGTCATTCATCATAATCAATATTATCGTCATTTTCACACAAATCATTTTCATTGAATTCGTCTTCTTCCTCTTGTCCTTCGATTCCTTCCTTTTCATCAAGATATGTTTCATTCTCTATGTCTTCAACAATAGCAGGAGCCGAGCTTGATACTTTTGCACTCATTTTTCTCTTTGACATCTGTCTTGTATATGTTTGTAATTCTCCAGCACCTGAAGCTCTTGCCACATCTCCCCATGTCAATATATCATCTTCAAATACAAGCTCGTCTTCAGCATCTTGCAAGTTAGCACCCATTTCTCCTACTAACCACTCATTTGAATCATCAATAGATTGAATCAAATCTATTTTTCAAATCATGACGAGTCTTCAAAGCTTGATTATACTTTATGTAAACAAGATCATGCAATCGTTGATGTTCTAAACGATTTCTTCTCTTCGAGTGAATCTGTCATGTCATATAATTTAAAAATATATTAATACATATATCTAAATAAATTAATTAATTAAAATAAAAATATTTAGTAATACTTACATGCTCAAAGACACTCCAGTTTCGCTCACAACCCGAAGCACTACATGTCAAACTAAGTACTTTAATAGCAAATTTCTGTAAGTTCGGGGTGGAATTTCCAAATAGACTCCACCATTCAGCTGCAAAATTTATGTTATTATTAGCAATAACATAGTAACATAATATATATGAAATTAATTATATCAAATTATTAATACCTGGAGAGGTAGTTGTCCTGGATCGAACGGCAATTGGAATTCCAAAAAGACCTTCAGCATTTTTATATAAAGATAATTCATGAATAATCTTATCTTGAACCTCAATGCTGGAAACTAATCTTGCAACGCACTGATATAACCCACCCAATATCCTGCTGCATGTAAGGGACGATGAAGTTGACAATTCCATCTTTCGTCAATGATTGTAAAAATTTTCTCATATTTTTCTTCATTTTCATTAAAAGATCTTTTAATCGTCTCCTTTGCTCTATCCATAGCCTCATAAATATATCACATTGCAGGCTTATTTTCATTATCCACCAACCGAAGGACTCGAACAAGAGGGCTCATTACCTTTAATATATAAACTACATGATTCCAAAAGGATGGCATTAAGATGATATCAGTAGCCCTCTTGCCTTTTGCTTCTTTTGCCCATTTGCTTGTCACCCATTTCTCAGAGCTAAACATATTTCTCAGAGTATGTTTTTGACGATGCACGCTCTGTAATGTCAAGAATGAAGTAGCAAATCGGGTAACACCATGTCTCACTAATTCTTTATTCCCTGTAAATTCTCTCATCATATTCAAAGCTCCAATGTGATTATAAAGAAATCCAACAACAAAAATTGCCCTTTCTAAGGTTTTC